GGAAATCCTTTTTTTGGTCAAAGATGAGGAAATCCTTAATGACTATAACTTCCCATATTAAGTCCAATTAGGCAGATCACATAAAACTTGCAGAGACAATTCCCTTCACAACCATAATTGAGTTTGGTTCAGTTTGCTCTTTCTTTTTCTTTCTTTTTCTTTCTTTTTTCTTGCATAAACTTAATTAATCCTTAAACAGAGCACCCATACAGAATAGAAACTGGAAGATCACAAGAAGGCAAGCATTATATGACCCATAATACATTGCACTACATCACTTACGAGTTGTTCGAAGGTCTCAACAGATGCACTTAATATTATTAAGGAAGAAACTAATCTAAGCTTTTGCACACCACTGATTGGTTCAATGTCTTTCCCATGGTTTCCATCAAAGGGTTTCTCACTCGTTTAATGACCCATTTCCAGTTAATCTCAGGAGGTAAAACAAACAAATGATATCACATCATATGGACAATAGAGTTGAAATTTATACAGGAAAATCACATTCAACAAGAGGGAGATGGTTGCACTTATAGCAAAGCCAAAAAGGAAGTAGATTAAAATATTGCAAGAAGACATGATGACGTAATGATATTAAATTCAAATGCCTCAGAAAGGTTGAAAATGGGTTTATCTGAACTTATGTTGTTTGTGCAGAGCTTCTACAACAATAGACAAGAAATTGTCCAATCAAACTAATCTGAAGACAATAAAAAGACACACCAAATTTCACTCTTCAACTACATGTAAAAGAAATGCAACAAAATAAATTAGAAATATGGCTTACCAACAATAATGTCCCAACATCAGGCTTTTCTTTCTGATTATTATGTATATCTTCTAGCTGCTTCCTGAAAGAAAGTACAATACAACACAGTTTTAAATTTCTTTGAACTTTTCCTGACGAAATCAGATATGAACTAAAACCCACAATATCCAGAGGGTCAAATAAATCGAAAAAATAATAATAAAATAATCAACCTCATACATAAGTGTCTTTTATGGAATCTTACTTCCAACATTTTTCTTCTCCCTCTGACTCGAAAACAATAAGGAAACTAAAAACTCCAAAAGTAAATGGGAAAATGGAAGGTCAAGAAACATGTATTTTATCCACTATGTGTGATGGCATAACTCACCTACCCATTCTGCTTACGTACACGTGTTAGCACCAGTGCACAAAATGCTACAATTATCAGGTCTTTTCTTGGACTACTATGTTGAGACCATGAATATTGCAGAAGATGTCAAAAGAACAGTCAGTTTCCAAATATATATTTTTTCTTTTTCTGTATTTTAAGAAGTTGATCTTTACATTTTATGTGAGAAAAATGTAAGAAACTCCTGGCCTTTCACAAAGAGAATTGAAGGTGTGAACATAATTTAATGTGGAAGACAAGTAGATTATACCTTGTTTTTTTACAGAACTGAATACAGAGCCGATAAGGAACATGCCATGGAGTAGGAAAGATTTTCCAGATTTCTTCATTTGTTCTCATACGACGCTTGATCCATGCATATCTTCGTTCAGTTTTATCCAATTTAGCTAGTTCTAGTAGTATAGAAAACAAGAGGAAATTCAAAATCAAGGGCAATTAAAGTGAAGTCTTCATACAGAAAGCATCTCTACTAAGAATAAGATCTAACATGAAGACACACCAGCTCCTTCAAAGATCTGCTCATAAGAAGTAAGCTCCCTGCTGCAAAAGTTATTTACTAATTCTTCCCTCACAGACGGCTCTAAAGCATCAACAACCAAGCAAGCATCAGATAGTTGCTGGAGTAAATTAGTTTCCTCTGACTCTTTTCCAGTTCCTAAGCTGAGAATAAACCGCAAAAGAGAAGAAACTTAGGAGTCAAAGACAGCAAAAACATTACAGTTGCAACAGGGAAAATATCCAGTAAATGAACCAGGTGCAGAGGAAAATCAAATTTCAAGTAATAAGTTCAAAGTGAATAAAAGCAAATAGAAGATGGACTTCTCGTCCATCAATAAGAAGGAAGACTGTCATTAAGAAACAAAAAACAAGAAAAGGAAACAATAAAGAATCCACCCAATGTGTATCTGCATAATATTATAACAACTTACCTCGAGAAATCGGAAAACACGTGTGACTTTAGTATTTGTTTGATATTCTTAAATTTCTCCCTCAGCTCCGTGATTTTAGGAATATCCCTATAAGCTTCAAAATGGCTACATAACTGGTTCACGGCCTGACATGCATCATAATCCAGAATTAACATGAAGCACTTTCTCAATAATTATATAAAATTAATCTTCTAAAACTGCCAAATATTTTCAATCATCTGTATATAACGCAAAACTTTGTACGAGGAAGAAAAGGATTGTTTTACAAAAATATAACAAAAGCAAAATAGCAACAGTGTGCATGAAAACAATGCGTATAATTTCTTTACAAGGATCTTCCAATTGCTTAAAGAGACCGGAACAGAAATCATATGCTAAAGAGAGTGTAACAATAATCATATGCTGCAAAGGAGAGGGCATAATTGAGCTACAGATAATCTGAAGCATGGATAAAATAAATGGAGCTATATAGTAAGCACCTCCTCAACCTAGAATAAAATGACACTGTATACTAGAAGATAGGTTACCTCCAACTGTGCAGAAGCCTCTTTATATTGTCGTTTTGAAGCCATCACTTGAAGCTGCTCAACAGCAGAGACTGCCATGTCACAAAAATAGGTACTACCATGAGAATGTAATATAAAGGCAAGCATTATTAGCTTCTAATCAGGGAAAACAATTAAACTAGTAATTTTGATCAATCATCACTGTCGAAAAGGAAGCAAGAACTAACCGAGCATGGTCAGACGATGAAGAGCAGTAATCGTAGTTGTTATATGCTTCTTTGCAAAGTCTAACTTCTTAATGTCCCGACATATTTCTTGAACCATTGTCTCGCTCTGCTCAGCTTTCGTTTTAATTTCTCGGATCTTATACATGAGTTCCTGCCTTAGAGGATTACAAAATAAATAAATAAAATAAAACAAAACCAAAAATTCTAAAACTAAAGCTAATGCAAGCCATATACAGCAATAGCAAGCCTTGATTATGCAAATTAACAACAACGCCTATGGACATAATTTATGAACCGACCTCCACAGCACGCGTAGCAGCAGCGAGATCTTCTTTGGCTTTGGTCCCCGAATTGCTCTGAAAAACCACACCAACCAATCAATCAAACACTAGAAAACGTGAAATTGCAGTTGTGAGCTCAGCTCAACAGGAAAAAATGGCAAAAATGACAACCTGTTGGCGAACCGCCGCTAAAATTCCAGCATCCACACGCCGAATCTCACTGTGTATCTTTTGCATAAGCGGCTCCACACCAGATAGAGACGCCTCTGTTCGTGCAATTCAAGCATTCCAAAGAGTAAGAAGCAAAAAACCTACACATTCTACTTATACAACCCCTAAACACACAAACAAAGACACACAGAGAGATAGAGAGACCTGTAGGGAACATTTGATTGATGTATTCCAAAGCGCTTGACTTGTCCATGGCTTGCAATTGAGCTCCAGCTCGTTTCGCTTCAGTTGTCGATCAGAGAAACAGTTCAAAGAGAGAGATCTGAGAATTTGGATAGTTCGGATGCGCTCCCAGTTTGAGCTCTCCTTTCGATTCCAACAATGGCGCTGGAAATGGGTCGATCTCAGATCGTCTGAGATTATGTGAACCGGGTTTCAGGATAAACGACTCTGACCCGATGTTTTGGAGCGGGGCAAAATGCGCGGGTTTGCAAATAACTTCTGGGCTGGGCCTCTATTCTATGGGCCAAAATTATTATATCAAGACCAAATTATAGAAATGATGAGAAAAATAGACACATGATTTTACACAATCGGTGATAGATAAGTTTTTGGTCCGTTAATTGATAAGAAAGTTTTTGCCAGTTGATTGGTAAGGAAGTTTTCCTCCGCCAAACGACGTAGCCATTTATTTTTGCACATGTAGAGGCATTGCAGTAATTTTATTTTTAAGTGATGTTTATAGGTTGTGTAGTACGTTTACTTATATGCAATAGAGGAAAGGAAATCATAAATCAGAAAAGTTATAAATGAATATAGCCTAAAATCAATCTAATTCATAGTGTTTCGTATATTGAATTATGGATTTTAGAATATAATTTCTTCATTTGCGTGTTAGTAAACGAAAGAAAAATAAGGAATTAGAATAATTTACATCATAAAATAAGGAATTAGAATAACACATAAATGAGAAGACAATAGCTATACCTTGGTAATGGCATAAACATAATGAATAATACTTTAGACTAGTTAATTCAGATATTTAATACTAATTATTCACTATTAGATGAAAAAATCAAAAGAACAACTCCCCGCTTAGATGACACCTCCGAGTGGGGAGGTTAGGTCATGGCTTATAAGAGATGACTCTACCATAGGTGCTTGTAGAACAACGTCAAATGTTATTACATGTGCATGATACGTGGTGTCAACTTCACACAATCGAGATAAATAAGAATTCATCCTTGGATTGCAAATGTCAGACAACTACATGAGAAAAAATTGGAACTACATAAGGTTTAGTGGTAATCTGACCACCAAACTTACAATACCTTTGCAATTTGGCTTTAAATTAATTAATTAATTAATTAAAGCAGCTAATTAGGTTGATTAAATAAATGAAGTAAAGTGAAGAAGAAGGAAAGGGAGGAAAAAGGCGAAAAAGAGAATCCACAAGCACACAAATCAAGTTGGCTTGGCGGGTGATTATATAAACAAAAATAATTTTAAATTTTAATTCCAAAAAGAACAAAACTTGATTTAATATAAGATTCATGTCCGACCACCCCTTGTTGTATCCATCATTGCAACTGTTACTGGGTTGTGTGTTTTTCAATTTATACTCAATTCCTCGAGTGTCAGCTCAAAACAGACTGTCGGAGGACCTCACTAATTCTTCAAATTTAGGGTTTTTCTAGGTGCAATTTTGCAACTTTTTTTCTGGGTTATGATGGAGAGTTCAGCTTCCGAGCTTCAACATGGAGTGGAATCCACGTCGGATGCCTCTGATCAGCCCCAGGTGATTTTATGCTATGTTCAGGTCCCAGAGTTTAGTAATTTGACTAGTAAAGATTTGATTTTTCTCTTCATTTCTTATATTTTCTGGGTTGCCAACAACCTGTAGTTATGTTGCTGTTGTCTTGTTGATCTGAATTGGAAAAGGAAAACTTTTAGATGGTTCATGTTAAAAGCTCACATTTTGATACGAAGTTTATGGTTTTCTTTGTTGCTCATGTATTTACTTGTGCAGAAGTGCTTGGACTCTATAGCTTGTTGGGTCTCTTTTTTCTGAATTCAGTATCAATGAATGCATTTGATGGTTTTGCAGGTTCATGATCCACAGGGAAAGAATGAAGAAACTTCCTTGGTTCAACAGTCTAGACGGCCAAACCTCTCCTCATTGCAAATACCAGCAAGGACACTGGAAAGTAGTTTGTCTGCTTTTACGAGGATTGATATTCCTTCCGTACCAAGTCCTAGTTCTACTAGAGCTGGACTGCCCCCTAGACCAAATTCAGCTAAGATCAAATCATCCATGAAAAATTTGTTTCCTCAAAAAAGCTTTAGGGCGAAAAATTTGCCCCTGGATGGTGAGAAGACCATTCTCATTATACCTGATACACCTTCATCAGATGGTCATTTGGCAAAGCCTTCTACTTCAAGGTCTTTCTCGCTTAATAAGGTTTTCTTCTCTCCATCTATGAAAGCAACACATTCTTTACCAGTTACACCAAGTGCAAATGTGGGTTCTGAGACTGTGCAGGGCAGACATCTGGAGAGTCATTCTGATATCTCTGTAAGTGATTCTATTTTATCTTTTCCGTATACCAGTTCCAGTTTCGAAATTCTCAGATTGAATAGCTTAATATCAAATTTCGAATAAAATTGTTTCAGACAATTGAAGTTAAGCAGCATATGTCCAGATCATTATCGGTTCCAGTAAATGTTAAAACCAGAAGTTTAAGGAGGATGGATTCCGGAGGCATGATGCGTGTAATTTCAGCAACTCCACGTCCTTCAATAGTTGAGGGTGCCTCACCGAATGCTGCCCCAGCATTGGAAACCAGTAAATGATACATCTTGTCATTAATAGAATTTCAAAATAATGATTAATTTATATTATAGCATATTTACTCATCTGCTACAAGACAAAACTTGTGAATTAAATGTATTAACCTGGACATAAAGCAATTCTTCACATCCATAGGTATCGTTCTTAGGTTTTCTACCTTGGTTGCATATAGATTTGCTTTCAGGAGAAAACCCTCATCTTCATTCATAATAGGATTCATATATTTTTATTCATGTGTAGATTTATGTTAGTTCACTTGCAAATGGGAATGACGTTCATAGCTTTAAAATAATAAAAATTGAAATCCGGAATTTTGAACTTGTTCAGTTCAAGTACTGAGCCATTAACTCTTACTAAATGCTTATGGATCTGTTATTTTATCTTTCCCACTTAATGCTCCTTCTATTTTGTATTATCTAACAAATATATGTGTAACTTGTGAATGATAACTCGCTAATTTCAGCTACTGAAGATTCTGGTGAAGACATTCCTGAAGAAGAAGCCGTTTGCAGGATTTGTTTGGTTGAGCTTTCGGAAGGTGGTGATACTCTTAAAATGGAGTGCAGCTGCAAGGGAGAGCTGGCACTTGCTCACAAAGATTGTGCAGTAAAGTGGTTTAGCATTAAAGGGAACAAGACCTGTGAAGTCTGCAAGCAGGATGTTCAAAACTTACCTGTAACACTACTCAAAATACACAATCCTCAAACAATTATTAGACGACCACCAACAGTAATGCAGCAGAGGGAAGTCCCTCGTTACAGGCAAGTCCCAATTATTACAATGTTGGTATTCGTCCCAGCATGACATTGTAGTTATGAATCATTGTAAAGAGCCTTGGGGCTCCATGTTTTCAATTTTTAGAAGAAATCCCTGTGATTTCAAGATTTTGAAGAACGTATGTAGCCTATCCTCCTGAAGAATGTTTCCTATATGTTAGTAATTCTGGTTACTTGATGGCAAACTAAACTACACTCAGTTAATGCTCCATTTATTGTCTATAGGCGCTTATCTGGTTGCCATCTTTGCAGAAAATCCGATCATAAACATGTTAAGATTTTCTTGATTTGCCAATATAATCTAGCCCCCTTTCATTTATTTTTTATGTTGTTCATAGTTACTTTTAATATGAATTGCATTTCCAATAAAATGGACTTTTGTTGAGGTGGGGGAGATGCATGTATACATGTTTCCTACTGCTGCATCTGTTAAGCACATAGAAAATTATGAAAACGTATTTGTTTCCGTCAATAATTCAGAGAACTTTCTAGAAATTTTTGGTATCATGCCCCTTTATTGAGATATTATTGTTTAAGTCTGATTTTGGATTTTGCCTTGTTGCATGCTTGACAGGGTCTGGCAGGACATACCAGTTCTTGTCCTGGTCAGCATGCTTGCATATTTCTGCTTTCTGGAGCAACTTCTGGTATGTTTATAAACTCAAGCTTTTCACTTTATGGCATTATATTTTGGGTAGTAAGCTCAGCCTTGTTGGCAAAGATAAACTTCGACTAGATTCTAAAATTCATGTTGTTCCATATTTCATATTATCCTTGATATGATCTTGAAAATTTCATAAGTGACAAGAAATCACGGATATTCGGATAAGGTTGTAGGCCTAAAGCGGTATCTGTTTAGATTGCAGCACGCCAATGGTTTTTGAACATTTTCATAACCTCAAGAGTTTACCATTTGCAGTCTCTACATATACACTTGTTATTTAAACATTTGTATGAACATTTTGTTATTGTTTGACATTGTAATAATTATCAGTGGGTGTGTTTTTTTTTTTTTTTTTTTTTTTTATTTATCTGAACAGGTATCTGACTTGGGTCCTCGTGCTCTTGCCATTTCTTTACCCTTCTCTTGTGTTTTAGGTCTCCTTTCATCCATGATTGCTTCAACAATGGGTGAGTTTATTATTCCTTTCACTACCAAGTTATTTATTATTATTATTATTATTATTATTATTATTATTATTAAATTTATTTATAATAAATCCTCGTTTAATAATTGACAATGCTATACAGGGAAATTACTTTCCCCAACACATCTGTGAAGTTATTTTTCTTTTTAATCTCTTCTTGCTCTTCTCGTTGGATGTTAGAAGCTTTGTCATATTTAATTCCAGTTAGGGAATATTTAAGAATTGAGTTGCAGCCATTTTGTTTTCTACTCTCTCTCTCTCTCTCTCTCCCTCTCTCGCTTCCATTTTTTCTTCAAATTAGTACAACATTCTTTTTCTTCTTCCATGAATTATACTTGAAATACCTGATTATGCATTATGGTGGCAGTGAGCAGGAGCTACATATGGGCTTATGCCTCCTTCCAGTTTGCCATCGTGATCCTGTTTGCTCACATATTTTATACTCTAGTAAGCAGAACTGGTTTCTTTCACGAATCCCTGCACCTGTTCTCTTTCTGGTTTCTTTTCCTGTGTTCTTGTTTTTACAGAGGAGTACTTTGGTCTCTGATGCAGCTTCTTATGTTCATTAAACATGCAGCTTAATGTAAATCCAATTCTCTCAGTCCTCCTTTCTTCATTCACTGGCTTTGGGATTGCAATCAGCACAAATTCTCTTCTGGTGGAGTATCTTAGATGGAAATCCAGCAGACAACTGCAATCTTCCCATCAACATGCTAGCAGTGCACTGCATCTGCATGAACTACAGCTGCAGCAGCACCTGCAAGAGCACCAGCAGTGGCAGCAGCAAGAGCAACATCAACGCCATTACCAGCAACAACGACGGCAACGTTTGATGGAAGATTCGCAGAATCAGTATCAGCAACGACAACAGCAGTTGCAGCAGCAAGAACAAGAACAAGATCATTATCAACACCAACAGGAGCAACAACTGGAGGAAGATCCGAACATGGATGGTCCCAGGCAGCTAGAAATTAGACATGGCACATAGTTCAAAAAGACTCAGCAATTTCGGTTTCTTTGATAGGTACACTTAAGCTCAGTAGATTGAAGATCTTTCCTTTTGTCCAATGCATGTTAAGATTTAATCATATTATATAGAAGGGTAACTTAAAGGTTTAAATCCATCTGAGCTTCAGGGAACGAAGACTTTGCATGATCTCTGCAAGGTTCTCTTCGGATTCAACAGCCTCGGTCAAATGAGTTTAGATAAAAACTACCAATTCAGAATGTTTAAGTCTGTCATGAATGCACATGTTTCTTCAACAAATAATTTTTTCTCATTACAATCATCTTAACTTTGGTGCGTGCACGTAATTATTATGTGCACCAAGAATATTATAGTCACCAAATATGAAATACTTGATATGTGATTTTGGTAAACCAAACAATAAAAGTTGGAACTTGTAAGCATTTGACTTTAAATAATTGTTTTCTTTTGTTTTTATTTCTTGCAGATTAAATGGGTTGTACGGGCAAGAGTTCAATCAGAAATCAGACGCGGCGAGTGCCCGAACAAGAGAGGCATGTTGTAGGGATACTCTGGATTCCAAGTAAGGCCGACTGGATGGTATGTTGTATTCACAAGCCTGAGCTCAACTCATTTACAAACTTTAGCGTAAGCAAAAAGGTGTCAAGCATGATGATGTTTTGCTCGTCAATGGGGAGAGTGAAATGCCCCCATCAGAACTTGACATTATCATGAGAAATTTCATAACTTTTTGTAACCGATTGAAAAAAGAAAATTTCAGAATCAAAAAAGGAAAAGAAAAAGTTGTCTAATTATTGTTGTGTATTTCTTGTAATTTACAAAAGTTTATCTTCTCATCTTGCCTCTGTGTTACGTAAGATAGCTTTCTGCTTGATGAGCGTGTATCTTGTGTCTGCAGGGTTTATATGGTTCCTGATGATATTTTTGAGAATCCACAAACCCAACGCAAAGGCTTACCATAGAACTGCCTTGTAATGAAACTCATCAGATCCATAATTTCTTAGCACAATTCAATTGGAGATATTCATTTCCTACAGGCGGCCAGATTTAGATAATTAAAGTTATAAAAATTAAATAAATTAAATATATAAAAAATGATAGCAAGAGCTTAGAACTGCTCATAACTTATCTCACCAAAATTTGAACAGTGCCTAGATCAAAACTAAGCAAAATCAAGTAGTCTGTAAAGAATCCTGCGTATACCAAGTAGGCTACAACAATCTTGAGCTCCCCCCCAGCAGTGCAACGCGATTTAAAACCATAAAAATAACATGATATAAAAAAGATGCCAATGCAATTTCATGTATTGGTCATCGATGGGGAGCAACCTAGAATGTGAGTTACATGAGCAATGGACATTTCAGCTCTTGCATCTTCATTTTACATCCACGGTCACTTGCTAATCGGGAAACATCATGACCTTACTAACGTCAAGAGTTCATTAGGAGATGTGCATGAGTAAATAGTAATTACAGACTCCCGAAGCTTATCGGAGTACACTTCTAGCATTTGGTTTGGTCACTGCTTCAAGAAACCTGTACATCCATCGATCTAGCATTCCTGATGCAAGACAAAAGTAATAACACATAACCAAACAGAATGGGTAATTAATGAAAAAGATATGGTAAGAATGACAGCTTGGCAGGTTCAACTTTGATGTCCTAGACTCTAGTAGTCTAGAACATCAACCAGTCGGAACTTCAATAAGCAGAAATGGAAGTGTCAAATCCACCATATATGGGATCTGTCAACCTGAGTGAAACTCCTTATTTCCACCCTGAATCAAATAATTAAACCCAAAAAAAGAAGGAATGGGCCTACTCGGACAAAAAGATCCAGAAAGTTAACATCATTTGGCAGAACAAGATAAGAGGACAGAATTGCTTCTGCACTCAAATCCCTCGTATTAGAATGGGCCTTCTGTTCTGGTTCTGATAATGCTGACTCAGAAGAAATGATAAAAGAACGAGTGAAAATACAAACCTGTCAAAGCAAAGGTACCGCCCAATACAGCACAAAGCCGAGTGATGAAATGGAGAAAACTGCGGCGTTCTTCTTTGATAGTTACAGTGATTGGTGACAGATCATACAAGAAGTACACAGCTGGATATAAACAACAGGGCCGATAATTAACACCAAGAAACCAATGAAAGGACTAACAAATAATTTCTCATAAACCAACCTGGCCATGTCCTATCAAACTGCTTCATAGGAGAAAAATATTCTGTGACAGAGAATTGATTGGTTGGCAAAACTTCTTTTGAGATATACCTATATTCCGTTGGAACAACCTGCATTGCAACAAAAAGAATTTTTTTCAAAATAGGTCATCAAGGTCAATGAATTGTTCATGAAAGCCTACATAAAGAATAGATGATTAAAAAAAGTATAGCTAACAACAAAGTTAGGCCTGCTGATGTCTCGTGCAAATTGTGCAATTGGTCATGTTTGAAACATTAACATATAATTTGAAACAAATTCTTTTTGTTTTTCTTTTCTGAAGAATCAAATGTGTTAATTTGTTTTTCAAAACATTAGTTTGAAGACAGATACTTAAGATTCCTGAAAATGCCCACTGAACAATGAAGCAAAAATCTATTATACTTTGAGAAAAAGGTAACAAATACCATTACTCAAGGTCCCTGGATGTAGTTAAAAAGTTTGAGCTTTAGCAAACCACTTAACAAAAGAAATAATACAAGTCCTTTATTGAATGTATAAGTTCCTTGGCTAGGAGTGCGACTTGTTGGATGGAACTCTGTTACTACCAGGGGACCTTTTCTTTAATTCTCTCCTATATGAGTTAAAATATGGGACAACTACTTGATCTTCCACAATTAACAGAATGAACAAACCTTGAATTAAAGGCTTAGACTCTAGTAGGCAATCCTGCACAGATATATGCATAAAATGGGCCATTCTATATTGCAGATTCATGAGATTTAAATCTACCACAAAGCTGTATATGAAATCCAAAGAAAGCCCACGTATTCAAACCTTTATATAATATTTGAAAGTGCCACTTGTGTCATGCAAAATACGCTCCGTCCCATCAAGTGGGTTGTGAATCCCTGGATATTTTGGGCCAAATGACAAGTCATGAATGATGTGGCTTACATTTACATTTTTAGATCCTTCAAAAATCTGCAGAGAAACAGTAAGACATGGAACAATAAGATAGGAGCTATAGTTAACTAGAGCCAACAAGCTTTTAAATCAAGTCATGCAGAAAAATGGCAGTTGACACAAGACTGATCCAAAAAGCATCCCTTGATATAAGAAGTGAGAGGGATTGGTTTACTCAACACAAACTTCAAACTCCATATCATACCACAAAACACAAAAAATTGACAAAATTTATTTATTTCAATTTTTTTTTTTTTTTTTTTTTTTTTTTTTTTTAAGAGAGATCGAAACAAGAATTTATCAAATCAAAATGCACTAATCTAATGATTTATTCCAAACGCCAATTTTTATCTAAAAGGATCAAAACAAGAATTTATCAAATCAAAGGCACCAATACCAAATATTAAAATTCTAATTCAGACTCATAATTTAGGTCCTCCATAAGTACTTTAGATCAGACACTGTACTTTGCATGTTCTAGATCACATGAAATTCGTTCGCCACAAAATGGACAGACATTGGAAAAAGAAGGGAGCAAACATTCAAGGAAAACTAACCATTTGTGCAACGAAAATGTTTAATCCATGAACTGAAATGTGAAAGTTTCCAGCAACCCTTTGGACATCTAAAACACCAAAAACCTGCAGCAAATTTTACATAAAATATATATATAAATCATTTCAACATAAATCTGAAAGAGCAAATAGGGTTCTTTAACATAACAAATAGACATATCTGTAATTAAATACCTGGCATCCTTCTCCATTTGCTATTGCATGCTTTACCCTCTTGATGAGATCTTCTGCGGCTTGATCAAAAGCTCCTTGTAAATGAATTTCCTGGTCCTTGTCCTCATGATGATCTTTACTGTCATCTGGTCAAGGTTCTTTATCAGATGTTGGACAATTTAACGAATATACCCTAGAAAAAAAATCATAGTTCTAAAACTAATGCTATGGCAACACTCAATCAAACAGAAATCACTTTAGTTTGTGAAGATGGTAAGACATAAAGGAATGAGGCTAGAAAGATAAGAGGGAAGCATAAAAATACCCAAAAATAAAATAGAGAACACAAAGAATGCCAAGAAAATCCACCATCAGATAATTTAATCCATCATCCACTCCATTCAACATATAGTTTCTCTTGAGCTTTTAGTCCTTTGTTTTCAGACTTTCTTAATTGTTCAAATGTCCTGCCATGCAAGCAATAGCCCATTGGTTACATTATATGCTTTGCAAAGGGGCTTAGAACCTTAATGGGACCTTGGAGAGTGGGTTTACTTTATCACTTAGGTGTCTCCAAAGGGAACATTGACTACATGATTCATGTTCATTAAAGGAAAAATCTGTTAAGGGAAAAATACACAGAGCCTGTAAGGGAAAAAATGTTATGTCCATCGTGGGAGCCAAAAACTTCCATTGATCGAAGCAACAATGAGAGTAAAATTGATCAGGTGCAGAAGACAAAGTGAGATAGTAGAAAAAACTTGTTGCAAAAAAATAGAATCTGAAAAGCATGGCAACACATCCAAAACAAATTGTGGTAGTAATGCAAAGGATATTACCATGCTTGTGAGAATGTTCCTTTTCCACAAGGTCAGACAAATATTCCGTGCCGATGATGTGGCCATAACTGTTCAGGCGAAGCTGCAGCCACTCTAAACTGGTTAGGAGAATAACTATGAGAGAGAGAGAGAGAGAGAGAGAGAGAGAGAGAGAGAGAGAGATCAAAAGTTTCCATTTTTAACAACTAAATTTCACTGAATACATGCATGGGAAAGCAGGTAGTCTAACAACCGGGAGATTACAACAAAATTTAATTAGATGTGCTACTTAAGCACATCTAACTGGATAACTGCCAGTGGATCAAAACAAGGATCAAAAGAAAAACAAAATTAGTCATTGCTACCAACTTCTCAAAAAGCCTAAAACCCATGACGGCCCAGCAAAGAGCCACCAGAAAAAGCTTGAAAAATACCTAAGTAGAGGGAGATTCAAAGAACCCCATAGCACAACAGATAAATTGGGACCTAGCACAAAATATGCATCATGCAACATGACATAAACATGAAGACTAGTCTTCAACACCAAACCCTTTAATGTAGTACATTATTCACAGATTTTAACAGATAAAACACATCTAGTTCTTATTGTTTGATATGTTATTATCCTATACATCTATTTAAGTAAAAGGAAAAAAAAATCAATAATGTCTCTTACTTTCCATATGTTTGTGTCAAGATCCACTTCATGCTTTCCTGACATATCAATCGCATCCACACTCAAAACTGCAATCAAAAGTTGAAAACCCAGCATCATCATTACAGAAACTACAAACATGAGATAAGAAGAAAATCTACAAAGAAACCAGCATTTACTTAAATACAAAGAGAAGGAAACATGCTAACCATCACAAGGTAAAGATGGAAATGTGATATTTATGTGAATTGGGAGAGTCTCTCCACGCTTCAAGTCTACGGACATCTGCCGAATGCATAAGCTTTTCAATTAGATAACTTATAATCTCAAAGGATCTATACAACATCTCCAAACTTATATCTCCCAGTTTGACTAAAGTTGTGGTACATTATACATCAAAATGGCAGATAATAATATACATGTGAGCTATTTCTTTTACATTCACAAATTTCTTTCATGCACCCTGAGCAGATAATAATTACCTGCGTATCCGATTTACAACATCAACAGAAAATAAAAAGATAAGCTTTTGAAACTCTAACCTGATGGACGGTATATGTGGTAAGATAATATCTCAGCTCGTGCACAAACAACGTCGCCATTATAAGTAGACCAACAACAGAAACTACACAAGCAAAAGTAAATAAATATTCAATTCAAAACATAATTAACAGAGAACCAAACACACAAAAATAAATAAATCAATCAAACAAACAAAGATATTACCAACTGCCCCAGTTTGTGTTTTCTGCAACAAGTGCTCTTCGGCACGAGGAAATGCATCCAAGCTCTTCAAGGCTTGTTTCACGCCCATTTTTACCCCAATTCTCAAAGAGAATACCAGAGAAATTTACCCAGCCTGTACCAATTTCAAAATTTCAAAATTTTGAAGCATCAACAAACTACTCGGATTCATTCACGCAGATCAAATTCAAAATCAAGCTGCTTTTTATTTTAGTTTTACAAAGAGTCAATTAAATCCAATTGTGATTGGAAATTACAGGACGAGTTTAATTTTGAATTAAATGAGAAAAATATGAATATAAGAAGATGCAGAGGTACCCGTACCAGTGGATTTTGAATGAATCGCCAAACAAAGAGAGATTTTTGCGTTTCGAAGACCAAACACCGAAGTCGGAATTGTAGCTGTTAGACTCTGGCACTTTTATAGTCACGAGCCGCGTTATGGTGTGCGCGCGTCCTCTTGGTGTTCTCCTGAGCCCACCTTTTAATTTTCTCTCTCCTTTTTTAAAATTTGCAATTGTCCAATTCTCCATTTATCTCCGGATGATTTTCTAATTGTTTGCTTGCCCTTAATATTTTTTTTCCCTTTTTATTTTTCATCCTTTGAGCTGAGAAGTGACATTTGGTGGTTGTCAATTGATCCTCAAATTTGTTAATCAATTGCTATTTTCAAGTATATGGGCTTGTTGTAACTCAAGGGGACTCAAGGGGTTAAAAATATTTATCACTACACTTAAAAATTTCGTGTGTTATAATATGAGTGAACGACATGATTGATATTTCTTGAATTTAAAATATGGTATTAATAAATAAGGATATATGTCATAATATCATTGGCGAATTGGTAAGGTCAGGGCCACGTGCGATAGGCATGATGAAAACCTCTCTAGAATGCATATAATATCATCAAGTACGACCTGATTCATTATGTATGTATTAATAAATGAAGAAAAAATAAATCAAATTCAGTTTATTTTAAAAATATATATTACATTAAATATAATCTTTATATGACGAGATAAGTTTACAATTATCTAGTATGTAATAATAATATGTAATTTGTGACATTCACAATTCAATCGATTTACGCTTAATTTACTACATGAGCTATACTTTCTTCTTCATTCTTTTTCATGTCAATTGCTTTTTGGTAATTAAAAAGAAAAAAACTAAGTAATATAAACACGGCGACAGTAAAATGTTGTACGGTAGAGGAAAACTAAAGCTGTTGAAGTGTTGAGTGACCAAGGATGGCGGCAAGGCTCATAGCAACGTCTCCTTTTGTAGGAATTGCAGTTTTTGTCTCGCTCATCGCTCTCGTCGCGTTTTATTATAAGCCTTTCTCACAACAGGTCAGAGGCTCAAAGCTCATTTCTTTTTCTTTTTCATTTTCTTGACAGAATACCAGACACCCCCAACTGAAATTTTTCATGATTTTGGGGTTTAAAGCAAATCCAAGGTTCGATTTTACATGGGTTTTCTTCTTAGAATTTGTCTGTGAATATAATTTCCAAGATGGGTTTTTTTTGTTTTTTTTAAATGTGTTTGCTTTGGTTCGCTTTTGAATGTTTAACATTATAGTGCAAGTATGTGAGTTGATTTTGTTCTTGTATCTAGAGATTGTTCACTGTTGAAGAATTGGCCTTGTACAACGGGACTGATCAAAGCTTTCCCATTTTATTAGGAATTCTCGGGTACCTTCTCACTTTCTCTCTATTTAGATGGATGTAACCCTACTCACATACAGTTCAAGCACCACAAAGTGTGTGGTTGACTTTTCAGAATATACATTAGAAATGAGATGTAGTAATCTCATGATGAGTTGAATTTTGGAAATCAAGCAGAGCACTTTATATGATTCCTAAATGCCTGTGAGCATACATTTACTGATTTAAAGAAACTAATCCATATTTTCTGATCAGATCGGTTTTCGACGTGACAAAAGGAAAATCTCATTATGGTGAGGGTGGGGGTTACAATCATTTTTCAGGAAGGTTTGTTCTCTTCTCCAACCCTGTTGAATTTTCTTACTTAAATGTGGTACTAGGTATTGATGTTTTCTTGATTTTTCCCGGAAACACATGCTTGGATTACAAATTGTGCTAGTCTACTTTTTAATTTTCATTACATATAGCATTAGTTGGTGTATGATAGGATTTGAATATATTTAGTCATCAAATCCTTTTATGCTTTGTATGATTGTATCTGTCTAGAGACTGGTATACTAATAGCTCTTTTGCCTTCACATACAACCCTTGCAATCAATAAAGAGATGCTTCACGAGCATTTGTTTCAGGAAACTTTACAGGTAAAGACGGTCTTCTTCTTTTTTTTCACTTTTAATTGTTGATGGATTTATTATGCAAGTTCAAAGTTTAATAACTTACAGAGTTGCCTTTGAATTGATTTTTTTGTAGGCTCTTTTTTTTTGGGGGGATTTAAAATAATGCTTGAAAAAGTATTTATGTTATAATCATCACATAGCATCTTTCGTTGGTTATATTGCAGGTGATGGACTCACAGACTCGCTACGTGATTTATCCAGTACACAGGTAACTCATGTTAGTTGCTCTCCTTTTTACCCTGGAGTTTGTGAAGCCATGCTGGACAACAAAAAGGGGGAAAGACACTAAATTTTTTTAGAACTGCAGCTACTAAACATCACCCATATTGAATGCTTTTCCCCTGCTGGTTCTACCCTCTTAGTCCATGATTTGCAGAGTGTTTCAGGTAGCTCACTTGTGGTCACCTCATGCTGCCTCCTGCTCACCCTATGCCTTCTAATTCAATAATTTATGAAGTTAGTCAGGATTAGTTCACCCGCATTTGATGATTGCCTGATTCCATATTCCAGCCCAACTGACTTGTTCAGAATCATTGCTTCTAATGTGAAACCCTTCTTGCATCATGCTTTGCTATAGTGTCCCTATGCCTTTGCCATTTTGTGACATATCCACTTGCTTCAACGTGGCATCTTGTTGTGTGACTTATTCGCTTATCAATTTTTTGCATTCTTTGCTCCTTTTTTCACACTTTTAAATAGAATAACAGTACTAATGGAAAAATAGGTAAATATTCAATCTAATCCCTACTACTTTGTTCAGCTGCATATTTGGGACTGTGACATCTGAAGTTTCATTGGTTGCTACAAGAGTGATTCAGTTTTTTTCTTCTTCTTTGTATTTGCAGGTGAAGAGTGTTGTTGAATGGAGGGATTTCTACTTTAGAAGTTACACGTGAGTTATACATCTATCAGCTATCTTTTGTACTTTTGATGCTTGGAAGGTGGAATTTCAATGCTTTTAATAATGTTGGAAGTTTTTTCATGGTTACTGGAAACTTGGGCCAATTAGCTGATCTGTTTTCCACTTTTGAAACTGTTAGAAACTTGTTTGGGGTTTTAAAATTTTACATCTACTACGAAAATTTCAATTGAATAAAATAGGAAAATTACCATGAATCTCTCAAACTTTCATTGAGGTCTGTAAGCAAATTTGATGTAATCTGTCTCAGATACTGCATATAGGAATCATTGTCATATCTGTCTGTATATGCTTATGATTGTTTTGGAAATAAGAGGCAAAGATCGACCCCAAAAGGAATGAAATTAATTTCTTTTTTTGGTAATAGACACTTTTGTTTATGCCTTTCAGAATGTCCTTCTGCATTTTTTTGGAATTCATTTATGTTGCAAGTTTATAGCTGTTTAGAAAATAGATGCCAGCCTTGTTCTGTGCCAAACACGATATGCTTGTCCTTTCATCCACCATTTTGTTTCAGTGAAGTTATCATGTCAGATATATTTGAGCTTGACTTCTTGTTCCTCGTTCATTTTCATGGTATTAGTTTGAAAGCATAAAGATATTAACTGATCTTCTTTTCGAATGAATAAAATACTTGGTAATTACTATTCATGACTTTTAATTGTCAGATTTGTAGGTAAGCTAGTAGGTCGTTACTATGATTCTGAAGGAAATCCTACAAAATATTTGAAGGGAGTGGAAGCAAAGGCTGCTAGAGGTGCTCAGCTTTTGGAGAAACAGAAGAAAGAAGAAGCGAAGCAACCTAGTTGCAATTCGAGGTGGAGTCAGGACGAGGGTGGAGAGGTATGTCTTCCTGACGTGGAATCAAATTATAGGAACCAAGCAGTCATTGTGCTTCTCTCTCAGTTCTTATAATGTTTTTTTTTCCTTATGTTTTCAATATTGTGCTGTTATGGAGGCTTATAATGTCCATCTTGTCAGACACAAACTATGAGGAATGGTATTACAAAAATATATGCACCTAAAATAAAAATGGATCAAATACCGACTTCGAAGTCCCTAGTTGTGGTTTGGCAAACATCTGTATTGTTGAATGAGCTTGATCTTAGATTTCCACTGTTTTGGTTATAGGTTTGGTGTGATGAGGGCGTCCCAAGGTTAGTTCAGAGACCACTAGAAATTGCTTTAACTGGGAAGATGAGCAAGCGATGTGCATGCTTTAAAGAAGATCAACTGGACCAGTCAGGGTTGGAAGTCTACGAAGGATGCGATTTCCTTGCGAAGACTTGCCGAGTTTAAACAGGGGGTTTTGGAACTTCCATGATAGAGATTTTAAGTTATCCTTCCACATCTGATGTCACTATGCTAAGTTGTTGAAAAGGGATGAACAAAGGCAGATGAATAGAGAAGCATTGTAATGTGTTTGGTCTACAATTTTCCTCCTATTGCATTGCATGGATTGTTGTAACTATACATGTATATTGATATTGTTTTTTTCCTTCTCTATATTGTGAATTATATGTTCATGCTAGATCATCACTTTAAACATATTGAGGATTATAATTTCTTGCCAGATCATCACTTTGGACAAATTTTTTAAAGGATTGATCATGGGGAAAAGAGCTACTTCCAGTCTAGCAGCTTTTATTATGCTAATGAGGTTTCTTATACAAGATTTACCAAAGACAAAACATGTTCTGTAAAAGAATCAATTAACAAATCCACTGTCCAGGTGTCATGGAGGGGTTCGAACTTGGGGTTCGAACTCGGGACACTAGTTTGCAAGTCAAGGAGAAACACTATGTGAAATTGGGAAAGCGCTATTTTGTTATTCCCGGCCAATCCATTGTTCATCTTACTAATACTAACATTGCACATGAATTTTCAATTCTGGGTGTCATTTTAACCACTCAAAAACAAAATTCCTGAGTACGTTATTTTAGCCCAAAAGCCTAGTCCTCCAGCCCGAACCCAACTATACTTCTGATGACACGAGATTCTCGTGAACCTCCCCAACGCACTTTCCATTTACGCCCCATTTCCAACCCCGTATTGACTCCGATGACATCATCATTGAGATACTGTCGAGGCTTCCAGTCAAATGTTTGCTCCGATTTCGGTGTGTATGCAAGTCATGGCGTGCTTTGATCTCCGATTCTCATCTTGTTAGGAAGCACCTCAGCCGCGTAGTCAGAGGCATCAATGCTAATAGCTATAGGCTCCTTATTTCAAACAGTCCTCTTTCAGTCCATGGACTTCGAAGCTCTGAAGAATGTGAATACTTTTGTTGCAAGCAGAGAGCTTCATTTACAAGTTCCGGTAGTGCTTGACCGAAGGAGCATTGTGGGTTCTTGCAACGGCTTGATATGTCTGAAAGGAAACAATGGCGACTTTTTCTTATGGAACCCGTGTACTAGAGATACCCTGAAGTTGCCAGGAAATACTAATTTTCCTTCGAGTCCAATGTTTTATGGATTCGGTTGTGATTCCACCATAGAAGATTACAAGGTTATACTGGGTGGCTCATCTAGAAATGCAAGTGGTTTGCTTACAACCACAATCATGATCACCTTTACTCTAAGAACAGGTTCGTGGAGGAATGTTCAAGACCTTAACTATGTTAGATTGAATGGGCAGGGGTGCTTGCTAAATGAAGCTCTGCATTGGGTAGAGTCTGTATGGAGACCACGAGAGGTGTCTTGCGATATACTTAGTTCCAGAATCATCTTTTTTGGTTGGTACCATTTCCTGAAATTTCAGATTTTGTTGGTGGGCTAGCAGATCATATTTCTAAATCATGCTTGTTGACAAGGTGTCTCTCCTGTAGTACTGATGGCCTTGGCTTGGGTCAAGACTAGGACATGTCCTGGACTGTGAGTTTAGGTTGTTCTCTCGAGATAACCTGCACACTTCAAGCAATTATCAGAAGACGGGAAAACTGGTTAGGTACCAGTTGAACCCCTCTGATGGCTAAATTGAGGTGATTTTAGGGTAGAGAGAAGAATGGAGAGTTTCAGGATGAGAGTATTTATTATCCTTGTCTTAATGCATGTGAAGAGTATTTATAGGGGGAAGGAGAGATCATATCTCCTCAAATTTTGCCAGAAAGGAGATCTTCAGCCATTCCCCATCTCCTTAAATCTAGTTGAAGGGGAGATCTTTCGGTCATTCCCAATGGTGGGACTGGAGAGCAATTATAGGCACCCGTCACTATGCTAATTATAAGGAATCAAGTAGCAAGGCGATACCTGGCTTGGATGTGAAGCGTATTAAATGATCCCTTTCCATTACCATACTGGCATTAGGTGCGTGAAGTGACTTGACTTGATAGGGATCTGGTTGTGTTAGAATATCAACGCTTCTGTCTCTGGTCATACAACATCTTAGTGGTCAGGTCGGTATGTGAGTACTCGACCTTTGAGTCGCACAATATCTCCTGACAGGCTCGGCTAGAAGGCCTTTTAGCGACACCTGGGGTGGTCAACCTAGTCGGGTCGGTATAGGAACGACCTAATCTCTCTTGACCACGTGGTATTCTCTGATGGCTCAACTTATAATGATGATATGAACCATTAACAATGCTAAAGGAAAAATCCTACAAAGTATTTTGAAAGGAGTTGAGAAAAGGCTGCAAGAGGTGCACATATTTTGGAAAAACAAAAGAAAATGAAAAAGCTGGCAATTGTAGATGAAGTCATGTATATGCACATGTATTTTTGTGATACATTGTTTCAAGTTTGTGTTAGAGATTTTAATTATATCCTTCCACATCTGATCATCATTTTAGACATATAGAGGATTATAATTTCTTGCCAGATAATCACTTTTGACAAATTTCTTAAAGGCTTGATCATGGGGAAGAGAGGCTACTTCCAGTCTAGAAGCTCTTATCATGCTAGTGAAGTTTCTTATACAAGATTTACCAAAGACAAAACATGTTTTGCAAAAGAACCAATTTAACACATCTAAGCTAATTGTTTAAACATCAAACTCACCACAAATATAATAATTCTTACATTTATATGAGTCGAACTTCGGACATCAAGCAGCTTAAAATTAAAGATCGATGGGAAGAGAGGCAACTTAAAATCCTCCTCTTCTTTTCTTTCTTTTCTTAAATAAATATATTTTTTCATTTTATTACTGTTTAAAAGAATATGTTATTTTTAATAAGATCGTCCAGTTTCTTAACATTGCATATGGGCATTAATGTCATTACATTAATTTTAAATTTTGGGTGTCAAATCCTAGCCCACCCTCTACACCAAGCCCAGTTTACAGCCGGGCCCCAACGCACTTTCCATTTTGGGTGTGTTTTTTTTTTCTTTCGGTTAAAGTCTTCTTATGCTGTTCAGCCGGATCAATCAGCCCTCTTCAGCTCACCTTCTTCCTATTCTTCTTCTCTCCTTTCAATCCTTCTTCTGAAATTCTCCCAATTCTCTTGGTCCTTCCAATTTCCAAGTCCAGGGCGGCACAGAATCAGGTAAGGTAAGTCTTCAACATTTAAGTCAACTTTCATTTCTTTGTTTTACTTTACTTTAATTTGTTTTGTACAAAATTAAAATTGTTTCATGAATCATGAGCATGTTATATGCACACTGACTGCACTTACTCCATTAGTATTAGGGTTTAATTTAAGGTCTAAATTCTTAGTTTGGGGTTTAAATTTTGGCAGAAACTTTTTTTTCCTTTTCAATAGAGAAAACAAAATTGGTTTGGGAGGTTAAGCCCACCCTAATTGTAGATCATCCTGGCTGCACCTCTGTAGCTTTTAACATGGCGGGCCTTCAGAACCGGCGGCAGAAACTGGACCCCTCGGCTGGGGTGTTTAAACGACCCCTTATTGACTCCGATGACATCATCATTGACATACTGTCAAGGCTTCCAGTCAAATCTTTACTCCGATTTCGGTGTGTATGCAAGTCATGGCATACTTTGATCTCCGATTCTCATCTTGTTAGGAAGCACCTCCGTCGCGCAGTCAGAGGGGTCAATGCTAATAGCAGTAAGCTCCTTATTTCAAGCAGTCCTCTGTATTCCATAGACTACGAAGCACTGGAGGATGTCAATAGTTTTGTTGCAATCAAAGAGCTTCATTTACCAGTACCGTTAGTGCTTGACCGAATGAGCATTGTGGGTTCTTGCAACGGCTTGATATGTCTGCACGAAAACAAAGGCGACTTTTTCTTATGGAACCCGTGTACTAGAGATACCCTGAAGTTACCAGGAGTTACTTATTTTCCTTCTAGTCCAATGTTTTATGGATTCGGTTATGATTCCACCATAGAAGATTACAAGGTTATAGTGGGTGGCACATCTAGTAGTGAAAGTGGTTTGCTTACAACCACAATCGCGCTCTTTACTCTCAAATCGGGTTCGTGGAGGACTTTCCAAGGCCTTAACTATGTTAAATTGAATGGGCAGGGGTGTTTGTTAAACGAAGCTCTGCATTGGGTAGAATTTGAATGGAGGTGGGAGGGGTATTTCAATGTACTTAGTTCAAGAATCATCTCTTTTGATTTAGCAGGGGAGAAATTTCAGGAAATGGTGCCATTATCATCCTATCTTAGTGACCAAAAATATATATCCATCCGTATTGGGACGACTACAAATTGTCTCTTTGTATATATGTTCAATCACAGCAATTTCAGTGATATTGCAATTACAATATGGGTTATGAAGGAATATGGGGTCAAAGAATCTTGGACTAAAATCATAGACATTCCTTCGGAGCTTTTCCGTCCACTTCAAGGAGTATTTTTTCTGAATCTTATATGTATTTTAGAGAGCGGTGAAGTTTGCATGAGTTATTCAAGTGGCCTGGTATCATATAATCCGAAGGAAAATACATTTAGGAGTGTTCTTAGCTCGCCTGTTATTTTGTTGCCTGAAGCAATTATGTACGTAGAGACTTTGGTTTCGCCAGTAGATGAAAGTTGTGCAGACATCTGAGACCAACAATGTGAGTCTTTCCTTCACTCTTTCTAACCGATACTATTCAATTTTGTGTAAGGAACAACCTAATGTTGAGTCTGAGCAAATAAGATTTGATATGCATATTCTTTACATGGTGTTTGAATTATAGCAGTTATTCACCAACCTCACAGTGTTGGTGCATCTAGCATTTTTTATTTTTTATTTTTTTATTTATTTAGAGGATAAGTTAGAGACGAAGTTGTGTTTTGTTACTAATTTAGAGACGAAGTAATGGGAAGCAATTCTAGACACTATAATGTTTGAGTAGGCAGTAATGGAATGCAATGTCTGTGGAAACAACCACCATAACCATGGGATTTTTAGAACCGTGGCTACCCGGTATCACTAGTACTAGCCTGTATCATCATTGGCAAAATTGCCTGTTCCTTACCCATTTTATGACTTATCCACTTTCTTCCGTTTTCTTGGTGTGACTTTTTTTTATATTAATTTTATTGTTATTTCTGTTTTACTCTTTGCTCATTTTCACACTTTTAAACTTATTATATCTTATGGTGTAAGTTTATACTTCATATCTGTTTACAACACAGACTCCAGGTGCCTGTAACTGCAGCAATTTGCCACGTAATAAACGCAATAAGCTTTGTCCTTTTAATGAAGTTATCTCATCAGATCTATTTGAGCTTGGTTTGCTATTGTTTCTCATTTTAGATTTCAACTGTCTTGTATCAGGTTTTGCGTGATGAGGGTGTCCCAAGGCTAGTTCAGAGACCACTTGAAATTGCTTGGACTGGGAAAATTAGCAAGCTATGCGCACGCTTTACTTTAAAGAAATATCAACAGGACCAGCCAACCCGACTTGGAAGTCGATGAAGGAGATGGTTACCTTTGCCAGGACCTGCTGAGTTGAAGCGAGATCTGTTGTGGAAATTCCATGTTAGAGATTTTAAGTGTATCCTCTGTAAAGTTGTTGAAGATGATGGACAAGGTTGAAGAGCATTGTAATGTGTTTGGTCTACAATTTCCCTCCTACTTGCATCGCAAGGTTTTTGGAACTGTATGTCGTAAAAAATAAAAAATAAAAAATATCATCATTGGGCCCAAATTATCCTCGACAACACCAGTATAAAATAGCCAAATACGTTACGTGCTATGCTTGTAGACAGCTTTTTAGCTGTAGCGAGCCGTTTGAAAGTATAAACTGCTAAACCAGTTGTCAACATAAGCCGCCTTCTCTTCTGCAACAATGGCAAGCCCAAAGAGCTTTTCTTGTTGCATTTGCCGCCTTTTTCCAAGAACATCGACTTCGGAAGCCTCACCACGAAAAACAACCAGTTTGGCCGCCTACGGCCTTAGCAGCCGGCAGCTGAAGCAACTACTCCCCTCAAATTTTGCGGCTGTGCCTCCACCACCGCCTCTCAACAACGATATCTTTGTCGAGATCCTCTCGAGGCTCCCCGCCAAATCTCTACTCAGCCTCCAGTGCGTGTGCAAGTCATGGCGCGCCTTGATCTCCGATTATCATTTTGTCATGAAGCACCTCATCCACGCAGCGGCCACGTGCAGCATCAACAACAGCCTCACCCTCTTTCTCTCGTCTACTCGTCTCTATTCCATAGTCTCCGTAGGATTGGACAAGGATCATGTTCATGTTGCAAACAGAGAGCTTGATTTGCCGGTGAAGATCCCAGATATTTTGATCACAAGAATTGTGGGATCTTGCAACGGTTTGATTTGCCTGCAAGTCAACTGCACCAACATTGTCATATGGAACCCGTGCACCGGACACTCCAAGCTCTTGCCGAAGCCTTATTCTCTTCTTTCCGGCTTCTTGTTTTTCGGGTTCGGCTACGATTCGACCACGGATGACTACAAGGTCATCCGAGGGTCGAGAACCGCGCTTTCCAAGGAGACTGTGGTTGAGGTTTTCTCTCTCAGAACAAATTCATGGTGGAGGAGGAGCAATAAAGACCATGGCTATGTTTGCTTGAATGGGAAGGGCTGCTTTTTTAATGGAGCTCTGTATTGGGTAGAGCTTCAATGGGCAGGGGGCCCTCGTCCCATTGGTTCTAGGATTTTGTCTTTTGATTTGGCGGAGGAGAAGTTTCAGGAGACGGTGTCGTTGCCCTACCTTGGCAAGGAAGAAAACTATGTCTTTGCTGGGATTGGGGTTAGTAGAAATTCTCTGTTTGTATACTCCGACCCGATGGGCTCGGATCTTAGAATATGGGTTATGAAGGAATATCGGGTCAGAGAATCTTGGGCTGAACCCATAGAAATTTATTTGGGTCAGATTTTACAAGAAGAGGTTGATGAATCGTTCTTGAGGCCTTTGTGTATTTTAGAGAGTGGAGAAGTTTTGCTGGATTATAATCGAAATGTCTTGGTATTGTATAATCCCAAAGGAAAGACGTTTCGAAGTATTGCTATTGGGACTCAGTCGGATGTAGCCATTTACATGGAAACTTTGATTTCTCCGGCAACCGGCAGGGGCTCTGACATGTGAACGAAACCCAATTGTGAGTCTCTATATCTTTACTCTTTTTTCCATTATTTGTTGCGTAGAGGATTGATAGATTGTTGATTCAACGATTCAGATGGTGTGTTTATATGTCATACCGTAGGTGTCTAAGATTATCCTATGAGTTTTTATTTTTTTCTAATTAGATGTGAGTTATGTCCGACCCATTTGATCTTGATTTATTTTTGCTTCCAATTTTATTGGCATTAGGTTGAAAGGAGAATTTGCATATATAATTGGTTTCTTCTTAAATGAATGAAATATTGCTTGGTAACTACTGACCATGACTCTTAATAAATTGTCAGATTTTGTTGGTGAGCTAGCATGTCATATTTCCATCATGCATAAGGAAAAATCCTACAAAGTATTTGAAGGGATTTGAGAAAAGGCTGCAGGAGGTGCACAACATTTGGAGAAACAAAATAATGAAAAGGCCAAGCAAATTAGTTGCTCAATCATATGTTTGTGTATTTTTATCTTCTTATGCTAATATAATATATAAGTATCTTGTACAAGATTTATACATAAAAAATAAAAAAATTGAGGTTGAGAAATCCCTCCCACAAGATTTATACATAAAAAATAAAAAAATTGAGGTTGAGAAATCCCTCCCGTGTAGTTTAGACTTTCGCTTGTACTAAAAAAGAAAATATAATTCTACTCAAAATGACATGATTATCTTTGGAATTAACTGTTGTTTTCCGCTAACAATAACATTAACAACAATGATAATATTTAATTTATTTATTTTCCTACAAAAGTGAAAATGTTACGAAAGTTTATACATAAGTTTATTTAATAAAAAAATTTGGTAATTTTTCAAAAGTTTAATTTCGAAACCAACCGCCACATTCACCAAAATTTGGCGCCTTTTTTGCCCTCGTCTTTCTCCGTCTCTCAGTCTCCCTCCAGCAGACACAGATATCACAACCTCACTAGCAAACGACGTCGTAAACAAGCCAAACAGGATGGTGTTCCTCCACCAGCAAATCCCTTCACGCAAGCGACCGGCCTCCTCTTCTTTCGTCCCTCCTTTGCCTCCCCCCAAATCTTCCAAACCCTCCACCACCAATCCGACCCCAAACGACGTCGTCGAGACCCCAGCCATCGACAAAATGGCCTCTATACTCGCCGACGCTGGCTGCACCCTCCTCAACCACTCGGGCCCACCGTGCCTCCCTGCGGACCCACACCAGCTCCGCCGCCACCTCCACCGCACTTTCTCCTCTTCCGAAAATGCCCCTGCTCTTCTCTCTGATTTCCTCTCCGGCCTCTCCACTTACATCAACTCCTCCAAAAACCTCCGCAGGTCAGTAGGTTCCTATACACTCTCTAATTGCTTATAGTTTTCTATATAATTTTATCGCATTTCCTGTTTGGCTGCGGAAAAAATCTAAGAGAACATTGTTCCTACATTTTCAGGATTCTCACCGCCTCAGGCAGAAGCGAGAGCTTAGTCCGGCACCTACTGCTGGTCCCCTCCATCCAATTACAGATTCAGAACATGCTTCTCGAGAAGCTTCCAGAGTATTTCCATGTATATCCGGAACATTCCGGTCCATCGCTGTCTCTTGAAGACGACATCGCTAGGCTTATCATCAATCACTTCCGGTGGCTCGATTTCATTGTCGATCCGAATGCCTTGGCCGAGAAATTGATGCTGGTTCTTTCAATTTGCCCTCTGCATTTGAAGAAAGAGATCATCGGATCGTTGCCGGAGATCATCGGAGATCAGAATAACCAGACTGTGGTTCGATCTCTTGAGAAATTGCTCCAGGAAGACTCGGCTGTTGTTGTGCCTGTGCTTGACTCCTTTTCGAATCTTAATTTGGATCCTCTGTTGCAAGAGCAGGTTTCACATTACGCTTTAATATCTGTTTGGTTGCTGAGAAAAATTGGAATCTCAAATTTGTGCTTATTCTCTAGGACATGGCAAAACAAGAAACTTCACTTAACTAAGCCTACTGCACATGTTTAGTTTGCGAATTCGAGCTGCACCTGACTCTAAATTTCCCTTGAATTTGAAGGTAATCACCATAGCATTGTCATGCATCAGAACAATCGATGCGGAGCACATGCCTCATCTGCTTAGGTTTTTACTGCTTTCAGCGACACTGTCAAATGCACGGAGAATAATCTCACAGATCCGTCAGCAGTTAAAATTTGTTGGAGTTTCAAATTATCGTACATCAGAAAAGAGTAAACTCAAAGGGAAGTCGCGTGAGGACAACACAGAGGCTTCAATTCTTGATGCGTTGAGATCAAGTCTTCGATTTAAGAATGTATGTCTTCAGCCATTTGTTTCTTGAAACATTTGTACTTCTCTCAAATTTCGAATTTCCCTTAAAATTATTAATTTGCTTCTTTATGTGCTATGTAGATACTATGTCAGGAGATTTTGAAAGAGTTAAACAGTCTTGAGAAACCTCAGGATCACAAAGTCATTGATATATGGCTACTTATGCTGATATACATGAATGGTGAAACCCTGCAAAGGAGCATTGAAAAGGTATTCAAGAAGAAAATTATTGAAGATTGCATTCAGGAAGCTATGTTTGATCAATGCATTCATGGACACAAGGAGCTGGTACAGGTATCTTTGACCATGATCTGATATCATGGAATCCAGTCTTATTTCGAAATTAAGTGATGTATTTCCGTAGCATTATTTTAACCTTCTTTTTGATTTGTTGTTAGGATTACTTTCTATCTTTCATTTCTTTGTCTGAGTACCTGTTGGCTTGCAAAGAGCCAAAAGCCCGGGAGTTTGGCATCCATATGTATGTTTGTCTCTTTGAGGAGTTTGCTGATACTTATTCAAGACAGGAAGTAAGTGGCCTATATGTTCTTTGTTGGTTATTTGATAATTAGAAAAAGGATGTACTGTGGGACTACTAGCTGTGGCTTTTGTTTAGGTTCTTGGTTCGCTGGTTACCCATGTGGGCTCAAGTGTGGGTTTTGAAGTCAGTTCTGCGTTAGAGACAATGGCTTTGCTGGCCTCCAAATATTCACAGCAATTAATTCCTCTTTCTTCTCATATTAATGGTATGATATTAATCTATTCTTCATATTGATTTGTCTGGAGTAATGATTTTCCAAGAAATGCATGCTTAGTTATTTGTTCCATAAATTCAGGTATCCTTGATTACTTAGAGGGATTTAGCGTTGAAAATTTGCACAAGGTAGGATGCTAAATTTTGTTATTTCTCTTGGCACCAAAGTGTTAAATCACAATTTCACTGGTTTTTACATGGTGCAGGTCTATGAGATTTTTGGCCATCTGGCACTTTTGGCTCGGTCTAGTGCAGATTCATATGGTTCTTCCTTTGCAAATGAACTTTTGATGATTGTACGGAAGCAGGTGCCAATACTTTATTTCTTTTCACTAGGAGCACTTAAATGTAAACTTTTTGATCGAATACATTGAACCATGCAATTTTAATATGGTAACTTTTACAGTTTCTGGTAACACAGATTGATTTATTTCATCCTTCTGTTTCGCAGGTCAGTCATCCAGAGCTGAATTACAAGAAGATGGGCCTTGTCGGAACTCTGAAGATAGTTTCCTGTCTAGGAGATGCAACTGATGTTACCTGTTCATCCTCATCTCAAGTATGACCCAGCAGTCTATCAGTTTTACTCTTCCATAGTTAGGTGCACATGATGGTAGTATGATGAATTTGTTACTGGCCTTGTCTATGATAGTAATATTTTATAAATTTCTTTTGATAATTAGAGGAAACATAGACAATATAGAGACTTGCAAATTATATTTTGATGTGTCTGGCTGATTTTACTTATGTTATTTTGTGTCGTCCATAAAATCAACTTCAATTTTAGGTTTTATTTTTCAGTTTCCAAACTCTTTTTTGAGGGATGTATTCACCATTCTTGAGCATCATTCTACAGAAATCAAATTGTGATGAGGCTTTGGAACTCTTGAAAATAGCTTTGGACTCTTGCAAACAGTTGCCCTTACCTTTGATCATGTTTTATGACGAACTGACTGAAATGATGGATTATAAAACACTTCATCCAACAGTTATGGAATGGTCAGTTGATTTTAATTTGCTAAGGTTACAAGTGGTTGTTCTTTATTTGGGAAAGACTAATCTGCATATTGCAGGATTGGGAAACATGTAGGAGAGTTTGAACCTCTGTTTCTGTCTGATCTTGATGGTGGGAATTTGGCTGTTAAGGACTCGTACTGTGGTTTAGAAGGTGATTTGTGGGATGCAATACTCCTTTCTTTTTTTCTTGTCCTGATGATAACTGAGATTGTGTTGTATAAGCAATTAATTGAGTATGGATTAAATTTTATGTTCTTTTTCCCTTTGTAGGGGAGCTGTGGATGAACTTGGATGGTGATATATCACCAATATGTCTAAACATTTTGCCATTAGCTTCCTCTTCATCACAGTAATGTGTTGGCCATACAGTATTTTATTCTTGTATAGAAGATTTTTTTTTCTCCCTTGATGTCTATGATGCTGAAGTTGGAATGTGTGTGCAGGTCTGCTTCTTCTTTACAAGTTCTTCCTGCTAACTTCCTTTTATTATCTGCAGTAAGTGTATAAAAATAGAAATTTTATTATATTTCATATATATAGAGTTCTGTGGTGTTTCTAACTGATCAAATTATGAATTTTGCAATAAAATTTTGAAATTTCTTGTCAATTCTCAGATTGAAAGGCTGACGAATCAAGGATCCCTTGGTGGAATTGATGCACTACTTGGCTGCCCTTTGCACCTGCCTTCTTCTAAGGTCAGGGCACTAAAATGCTTTTGCCAACAGCATCCTAGCAAGACTTTGGCTTATAATTTAAAGTTGAAAGCTGAAAATCCACATTTTAAATTTGGGAGAAAAGTATCCATGATGAAGTCACACAGTTGTTTGAGAAGTTGTTTGAGAATTAAAATAATATTTTTAGTTGATCTAGACTCTCTAATTTTTGTAGTCTGTCAGTTTTGGTGGCATTGACCTG